CAAAAACATACTAACATAATAAAAGAATATAAGTTGATTAATAATCAACTTATATTCTTTTATTATGTTAGTATGTTTTTGAATTAAAAAAAAAGTTTAATTAAAATTTTTGGCTGAGTTATTTTCTTCTAATTTTTCCAAAAAATTTTGAGACAATATTTTAATTGTTCAGAGAAAAAAGATTTATACTAAATGTATATTCAATAATATTCAAATGTTACTATTTGGTAGGTTTTTTGGTAATGTACATCAAAAGAGTACATAAAAATTAATATTTGTAAATTAATTTTATTATGTAATGGAAATACAAAAAAAAATTATATTATGTCCTGACTTAATATTTGAAATAACAAATTTATACTTGCCATTATATTTCTTCCTCTATAATGTTCAGGATTACTGTTGTATTGTGACTGATAACCTGGTCTGACATGAAGACCTCGGTACTGAAATAAAGCAAATTCAATTAAATATGCAATTTCATTTTTCTGGAAATTAAAATTCAGATAATCAAAAATATATAAATATTAGTTCTTCATATAAATACATAAATTAATTCTTCATATAAAGTGATTAATCTAACTTGAAACAGTTCACACTGAATATACTAGATACATGTTACACTACAATAATCAAATAAGTCTGAGTTTAAATTAATGAGTCTGACTTTATGTAATATTTGTAATTAATTAGTCAAGTTATGGCCTGATAATGAATCCGGATTTGTCATTTGATTATTTAATTTAATTTAATGTTTATTGATTTAAATTATTTCTTACAATGGGGAACAATTTGGTTATATACAGTAATGTTATTTAATTAATATACATAGTGATAAATTATTGCAAAAATTCTAAAGATTTAGAAAAGAAGGAGATCTTAAATAAAGTAATTTTTGACATGTCCACATTTTTCAAATGATTATACATGAAATCTTCTCCTAGTACAAGACATTTTAGTTGATATATCACTTGACAAGATCCAAACAAGTGAATTAAGAGATTCTCTTCCTCTTTACAACCGCAATAAGTCATTTGATTATTAATATATAATTCAGACTTTGTTTTGTAAATGAAAGTATTAAATCAATATGCTTGCAAATGTACAAATAATTAAGATAAAAAAAGTTTTATAATAGACCAATTACTAATTACTAAACTTAATGACTGTTTTTTAAAATCATTTTACGAATAATTCAATTTGTTAATTCCTTGAGAAATGAGAATGTTTTGTATGCATTTTGATATTAATTCAGTTACTTAAAATGACATACAAATATTATCATAAATTTTTAAATTTTATCCATATAACTGGTTTTATTTTCAACTAAAATTATGAATGATATAATATGTGTAACCATACATTAAAATATTTGATATAACATATGAGCAAATTGCATTCACTTTACATACATCACACAAAGAAATGGAGCAAATGTGTTTATTCATTTTTGACATTTTCAGAAAAAATATTTTTGTTAATTTATATAAGCAAAAATAACAAAATTACAGTATTACATATATATTTTCATATTTTCAAAGAAATTGAGTAGATCACCATGTACATCTTTTACGTACGAAGATTTAATTTCAGCTACAAAATAATAAAATTTTTGTAACAAATATAATTTAAGTTATGTTAGTATTTTAAAATCACATCATATTGTTTTGAATGCTTCTCCATTTTGGAATATGTTCATCCTTATTCTATCTATCTGTGGAACAGCTTTTTTACTCGAATGCTGCTGAAAATGCTTGTGTTAGTGTCAATTGTCAACTGTTCCAGCTTATTGGTAACTTAAATATTAATAATTTAAATAATTTTAAATATTATATTGCTACATTTTTTGTAACAAATTTAATATTTCATATATAAGGATATACATTATTTTTATACAAGTCTACACTATAATTGGAACCTGTTATCAGTATTCCTCGTAAAAAAAACACAGTCCAAAAAAACCAGATTTTACCCGAGGAAGAACTATTCAAAAGTTTGAAAACATTTGTGATACTGTTTTTTTTTTTTTCATGAGGAACACCTGTAACAGGTTCCAATTATAGTGTTAATTTCACACCCAGTGTTAAGGTGATGTTGAACTTCTTATTTTTATACAAATTTTTATATAATTTAAGTTATGTTAGTATTTTAAAATCACATCATATTGTTTTGAATGCTTCTCCATTTTGGAATATGTTCATCCTTATTCTATCTATCTGTGGAACAGCTTTTTTACTCGAATGCTGCTGAAAATGCTTGTGTTAGTGTCAATTGTCAACTGTTCCAGCTTATTGGTAACTTAAATATTAATAATTTAAATAATTTTAAATATTATATTGCTACATTTTTAGTAACTTTAGTGTATCCATATATAAAATATATTAAAACTTGTGTACAACTAGTATAATTCAATTACAACATTAAAATAAATTATAAAAAACTAAGCATTTCTTGAATCCTTGAAAAGCTGTTCACAAAATTTGTGAAAGTGGCAAATCATATCTTGTAGTTAGTAATAGACTGTGTTTTTTCACGAGGAACACTGGTAACAGGTTCCAATTATAGTGTTGACTTGTATAAAAATAATATATTTCATATATAAGGATACTGTAAGGTCTCGTTTTATGCGGTAGATACGTTCTACAGAAAAGCGCATATAAAAAATTCGCATAAAAAAAGACTTTACTTGCCTTGAAAAACTAGGGATATGTTCCATAATTTTCTAAAATCGCATAAAACCAAAACAACGAGTTAAAATTAACTTAAAACCACATAAAAAAAGTTTGCAGAAATTAAAAGAAATAGGCTGCTTATTACTGCAACTTGAAATCAGCAAAATTTAAAGTCGCTACTTATTATAAAAATGAACAAAATACTGCTAAAATAAAATTTAATTTCAAAACAATTACAGTTTATACCTTTCAATGCGAAACTCAGAATGATGTAATAGCGACTTGTCGATGGTAAGTATCATGTACAAGGGGAATCCCCGAATTGCAAAAGCTCACTCTAAAAACAAATCACTGACATCTGGATGTGAAGAGTTAATTAAAACCCCTTTAGTTCCTCGCCCGAGTTAACTCGGGCAGGTTACATAGCGTTACATAAAACACGGTCCTTAAGGCCATTTTTGAAATTTTTTTTTGAATTTTTGGAATGTTTTTTAAGTCTCCAAATTTTTTAAAAATATTTAAAAATATACGGCCAGCTAGTGTTCACCCTACTTTAAACCCTTGTCCTCCCGCGACGTCTATGAGAATGCCCCGGGAAATCCAACTCCAGCTGTGTTCAAGGTCATCCAGAAGTGTAAACAATGACTCATCGGTGTTAAATTTCACAGAAGGGCGAGACAAAGGAAGTTAAACTTTGAAGCTTTTTCTTCAAAATTAACGCATTTCTTTCGTTTTTTTTCAGTTTTAAGTATTTTTTATGTTTAATTACATTTATACCAAAAATTGCTAGGAACTAAAGCGATTAAGGCAGATCTAGCTGTCCTTTACATCCATAAACGTTATATGTCAGTGGAACAAATGGAGTGAGCTTTAAGCGTTCCATGATTTTTGGAGACTGTCTATACGCGGGCTTCGTAAACAAGCCTATATGTATGTTTGTCCAAGAAATTTTTGGATGAAATACAAACCGCATAACTTCAAAATCGCATAAAAATAATCCGCATAAAAAGAGACCTTACAGTATACTAAATTTGTTACATAAAATGCAGCAATATAATTTATAAACTGAGGCATTAATGTTTCTAATACAAAATTATATTGTAGATATTTTGATTCACTACAAAGCAACTAAATTTACACTGCCAATATAAATATTAATTTATTTTGATTTATATATTTTTTAAATGAAGTAAAATTTTCTTACCAATTGTTTAAAACTCTCTTTCCATGGATTCTCATAATCACACTCTTCAACTTGAACGTATTCAAATTTACATGGTCCAGTGTTAAAAAGTGGCAAATCATATTCATATACACTTTGATACAAGTTTTTCCTAAAAATAATATTTATAAATCAAATGATATTGGACTATTTTTTAAACAGCCAATATTAGATAAAATAGGATTGAATTATATATATGTTGTAGTTAGTTAATAAAAAAATTTATAAGTAAATATCTTACCATAATTCTGTGTCATTACTTATTGTATGGAAGCGCTTGCATACTTGGGCAACTCGACACAAATCTTGCTCCAACAGGTATGAGAAAATAGTTAATAAAACTTCATCTGGCAATTCATACAGTAAATAATGAGCTGCTGGCCCACTTCCTAAAATTAAGAAACAATATATACATTTATAAACAAGTCATATTTGAATTTTCTACTTAAATTTTATTAAAATCATTTTGCAAACTTAAATAGATATAGGTATAAGTTAACTGATTATCATGTCACTAAATATTTCATTCAAAATTAAACACTTATAAAATTAAAGAAAAGAATTGAAATGATTATCCTTACCATCTGGGAGGGAATGAGAAGAATATGTTCGTCTTTGACGTTTACGCGGCATTAAAGGATTACTGCAACTTGCTTCTGCACTACCACTAGCACTTGAATTATTAGTTTCTTGTAAAGATAATTTACGGCGTAGAGCATATGGAGGTTGATGAGATGAACCTAAACCGCTTGTGCTGGGTCCTGCTGCAGAGAAAAGAACTAGCTGGCTTGTTTCTGGAACTAAAAATTGTATAATGTAAGTTCTTAAAGCAGTAAGTTCTTATTTTAATTATTTTAAATATTCAATATAAACTAGTTAACTGCAGAATATATTATTTCTTATTTTTCCACCGAAATATGATTTTAGAAANTAAGTTCTTAAAGCAGTAAGTTCTTATTTTAATTATTTTAAATATTCAATATAAACTAGTTAACTGCAGAATATATTATTTCTTATTTTTCCACCTTCCACTTCATATAATTAACAAAACCTTTAATATCTAAAATATATTAACTTATTATTGCTGAGGTAATTAAACTTTTTTAAATTTACCGTTAATATTACTGTGCACTAACACATAATATTGTCTAAGATAATGAATATAATATTAACTCAGACATCATCTGAGTTAATAAAATAATCCTAGGATTTTAATGCCAACTAGATTACATAATTATGATAAAATTAGATATTGTAAATAAAAAAAGTCAATCCAATTAAATATAGAAATCAAATAACTTTTTATGTATAACTATTATACATAATGATATAAAATAAAAAATACAAAAAGTATTATTAAGGGCAGAGATGAAGTATTATAAGGATATTAATTTTAATGAGCAATTATTTATTGTGACATTGTCATAATGCCAAGCTGCAATTTTTAATCATCTTTTAATTAAAAAACAAATCATGCAACTTCTAATCAAGACCAGAAGTTTATATACAGTTAAAGCTATCCATATCTAGTCTCAATTTTCATCTATCTAACATCATTCATGAGATTATATACTTACTTTTGTTAATATTTAACTTTGTAATTATATAGGAATATAAAAGAATAACTGTAATTAATTAGCCAATAATTCTAATCTAATAGTTAATCCAACTATAAAAATCTGATGCAAATCTTTTCTGGAAATTAAAAAAAATATATTTGTATTTCATAAGCTATCATCTTTGAATCATCGTTAAATTAACTGATTACAAATAAATTTGTTGTGGTGATGACTTGCAATTTTCATTGATAAAAATTATTGTAATATCTACTGAGAAATAATCTAACTGGATATTTGTATATGAGAATTACAACATACTAAATATTATTTGATTATTTGTAACATTAAACTCCATTTTTTTCACAAAAATCATAAAAACTAAAAATTAAACCATTCAAGAAGGCTTTTTAGTTTATTTGGATTAAAAGTTTGAGATATTATATGTATCAAAATCAACAGCTTGAAAGTAATAAAATAATAAAGAGGCCAACATATTTAAAATTAGAATATTTTTAAGAAACATTCAGATTTCAAAAATTTCTAAAAACAAATTTAAACTACGAAATATTAAATGTAAAAACAATTGACAAAATTAAATTACTGTATTATATTTTAAATGTTTATACTTCTAAATTTTTTGTATTAAATGACTGATGTCAAAAACTATATCCACAGCTTTAAGCTGATATTTTTATACTCACTATTCAGAACAGTTAATGCTACTAGTAATAGATATTCCTTTAAGGATTGCCAAAGAACTACAATAAATCGCAAACATCTGCTTTTTCCTGCAAGGTGTTAGCTTTTTCATTTAAAATATCCCTGAAGCTTTTTGATTCTATCACCAAAAGTACAGGTTATCTTCCCAGTTGTGTCAACAGAGACTCTATATACATTACTTCTTTAATCCTTTTTCATCAATTCCTTTTTATTTTTGATAGTGATGATCTGATCATAACTAATTTGATGTAATTTTATTTTTGGAAAGTCTTGAAATTTCATTCTCTTTAAAAATATTTCTGTTCTACTCTCAAACATGTTATCCTATTCTACAAATGCACAAAATACAGATTCAACACATGTAGGAGCCACAACCAGGAATCTTGGCAGTAGAATGATGGAACACAAATGGGCTATAAGAAAGGGCATAATCAATACTGCTCTTCCATTTATGCAATGAAGCCTATGTAAAGATTCTATGGCAAGACTCTGAGATCATACAACTGATAATCAATTTATACAGATACAGTAAAGAAATTATATATAATCTAAAGCAATTGGAATTCCTTGAAATATACAAATTTAGTTCAAGGATGCCTCAACTTCCATGATGCAAACTCATTATCCTCTACCTAGAAATCTTTGTATGAAATATAACCTGAAAAGTAGGTCTATGATGGATGCATGTTTATTTCATTTATATTTTATTTTTAATTTTGTAGAATATGTGAATAATACATAGTTTTTGTTCGTATCTTACTTTTACTTTATTCCCTACGATTCAAAATTTGTAGTTGAACAGGTGACCACTGTACACTCTTTTATGGTCTCATTTAAATTGCCAATGTTTGTTTGTTTTCATGTTTGCACAATGAAGCAGATCCATCAAAGGGATTAAAAACATTCTCTATTATAAAACTGTGCTGGAGTTTGTTAAGGTGTCTGTTTTATTTAACTTAATCTTCTAATTGTTTGTTATTTATTGAACAATAACAAAAATAATATATATAAATAAATAATCGACACACGCCGGAAGAATACAATAATAAACTTTCTACAAACCTATAACCAGCGTGAAATATGTTCACGCTGGTTATAGATTTGTAGAAAGTTTATGTCAGTGAGCGGCACTGCATACACCCCAGTATGCAGTGCCGCTCACTGACCATAGATGCGACAGAGAATTAGTATACATTGGAGCCACGAAAAGAGTGGTTGGAGTAAGATAGAAGGAACACCAAAAGGACATTATACACAACAGATGTACCACTGCTTTATCTGTATATGCATCGGATCCGGAAATATCTGCGGACTTCGCGAGAGCCAAACTCCTTATCACAACGTCATATGTGGACCAACTCAGATGGTTAGAACAAATAGAAATATGCAAAGCCTACGACTCATCAACCTCCATTAATTCCAAAGATAAAATCACGTTATCTTTGGCGTGGCAAGCCTTAATACAGAAGGGAGATTCAAATTAAAATGACATCGGTACTTGTAATAAGTTAAAAATAGCTACACGCATTTTCTCTGACTTCCGACACGCTCAAACAAATTTATTCATAAAAATACATAATCTGACATACAAGCAGAAGATCGTTACATAGCAACTGGAGTTTCGAGTTAGAAGGCACGTAATTCCAAATGGAACCCGAAATACGATATTTGAAATTTAGTTCCAAAGACAGCTGGCATTCTAACGGATCGTTACGAATGGAACATAGCCTAATGAAGGATCCAGTGGGATCTGAAAACGTTAGCGTAAGCAATTGAACATATTTCACGCTGGTTATAGGTTTGTAAAAATAATATATTTTTTAAATTAGTTTTTTAAACTGAAAAAGAAAAATTAGTGTTATTTATGTACAGGGTAATTCATTCGGAACCTGAACACTTATTTTGTTTGACATCTCATGTCGCACAGTTACACTTGAACATGTAATGTAAAACATACCTTGGTCAACTGCTTTCTCATAAAATAAAGAATTGTTCCATTTGTATTTCAAGCTCTCTTTTAATTTTATTGATTCAATTTCAATCATACAAAAGGGGGAAAGCAGATAACAAGTAATAACTTAATTTTATATGAACATATTCCACATAATAAATCACTCATTATCATCTAATTTTTTTTATTATACTATAAAGGAGAAAACTTTTACCTAAATTTTCTTATGAAAACTTTTGTTACATACTTAATTAAATTTTATTTATGTCAATTATAAAAATCCTCTTAATTTTACTTTATTTGTAAATTGTTCAACATTTTTATTAATGACCAACATCAGGAATGTAATTAGTAAAGTGAATAGTACAACTTGTATGATCAGTATATATTTGTTTATATTTATGATGGCATGGTTATAAAAATGCCATAATTACAAATTAATATGTCAAATGACAGCTGTATTAAATCAAGCTACTTCTCCGCAATTTCATACAACAGTCACTTGGCATATTACTAATATAATCAGGTTTTGAGATGTTTGTGTATTACAAATTAAAAAATAAACTATAATTAACTATACACAAATAACTAGGCCCAAATCATAAACCACATATCTGAAAAACTAGATAGCTTAATTATATATAACCTGAAAGAAATTCAGCTTTTAGATATTTGGTTATAATTATATAATAAAAACCTTAAATACGCTAATGCTCAGTTAATAAAGTATATGTTGCAAATCTTTAAAAAAGACTACAGAAAAGCAGAAAATAAAATGAATTATTATTATTATTATTATTAACTTATTTAAAGAAGTGAAATTTTGAATTAAAAGTATTGATATTTTCACAATTTTTGAAAAAATTATTTTAAACAATTTCAAAACTCTTTGAACACAATTTTAAATTTCACATTTATCCGATATCCAAAAATCTGATATCTCCACTAAAATGAACCATTTTAATGGGATACCAATTCATCAATAAATCTGCTTCTATTCAAATATTTCATGTAAGTTAATATTAACTTTACAAAGTTTTAAGTTAACTTTACAAAAACTTCACTAATTTCAGTTGACTTTCACTTATATATATATATCATATTTGACAATGAGACTATAAGATTTTATTTATTGATTATTTGTGAATGTGAATGTCCTCTTAGACTTACAGAGAGAATTTACAAAGAAAATTCTTCTTTATAAATTAGTAGATAATAATAGTAATATTATCTACCAATTTATAGCAATAACTGAATTGATGGAGGATAGTGTCAATAGTCTAAAAGACTATTTTGACACTATCCACTATTGTCTTAAAAATCAATTGAATAAAATAGAAGAAAAAATTGAATTGAAACAGTTACTAATTTTGTCAAATATGACAAAATTAGTAACTGTTCAAATTAAAGTAATTATTCACCAAAACTGACAAGGCAGCAATCAATTGAGCTCCAAGTAGTTTAATCAATAAACAACATACTTAACTGAGTTTTTTAATTTCATATTTACTTATTTTGCAACAATAAAACTTTTTCAAAGTACTAGCATATATTTTATTTTCATTTCAAT